TTTACAAGCTAGCCCCAGAATGTTAAAGTGAGAACTTTAATTTGGAAGAGAAAAGATGTGCTGCTGTTTGTTGTGACACCAACACCTTATTTTATTTAGTGCAGTGGTACCTCGGGTTAAGTACTTAATTCATTCCAGAGGTCGATTCTTAACCTGAAACTGTTCTTAACCTGAAGCACCACTTTAGCTAATGGGGCCTCCTGCTGCCGCAATGCTGCCGGAGCACGATTTCTGTTCTCATCCTGAAGCAAAGTTCTTAACCCAAGGTAATATTTCTGGATTAGCGAAGTCTGTAACCTGAAGTGTATGTAACCTGAAGCATATGTAACCCGAGGTACCACTGTACTATTTATACACCAGTTATTATTTCCAAGTGATCTCAAAGTGGTTCTTCTGTACAGAGCTAAGAGACAAAAAGGAGCGAGGAGGGAAAAAGCACAAATGTACAGAGAGGGAACAGGGAGCCTGGAAGTGCCAAGGGGGCTTTCTTCCTGACCCTCAACATAGACTCCTGTTGCACCCGCTACCTTTTAATTAGCAGAGATGGCCGAAGATATTTTGCTGCCTGAGGCAAAAGACAATATGGCACCTTCCCTTCCATTGTTCAGAAAGTGACTGGCCTCAGAGATTACTGAAACGTCATTGCTAGCAACAGGATAATACCACCCCCCAGCACCCATGAGGGCTGCTGGCTAGTTTACGGGGTGTAATGCAGGCCACCTGACACACCTACGTCTGCCCTCCAACACAGGGCAACAGCCAAGGAAGCAGTGCTGTTGTCACCCCTCAGCAAATGTCACCTGAGGTGGTTGCCCCCCTCTGCCACCTTGTTGTGCTGGCCCTTGTAATTCAAGGTAAGTACACTGTGCTTTGATTCTGGATTATTTTAACTGCTGAGCCTGCTCTCATAATGCTACACGATACCCCTTTCTTTCTAGATGTGTGTGTGTGGGGGGGTGGACAGGCACTAAACTAGAAGTCTAGAAGTTTCTGTACACTTTTTAGGAAATAGCTAAGCAAAACCCTCATTGGCTGTCAGTTATTGAAATAACTCAGGTAGCACATTTTAAAGGCATAAGTAATTGGATCATTTTCATTATCTCCCAAGTTTGCTTTCCACTTCCAGTATTCTGTAATTCCAGCCAAATATTCCAGCACATGTAATGCTTAATGGCAAAATAAAACATCTTCATAGACTACGAACTTTTACACATGATTGGTCAGAGCAATTGATTAATAACTTTTACAGCTAGTTATGAAAATGAGATTACAATACTTGTAAAATTAACACTGCATTTCTAATTCTCCTGCCTGTGGACAATTTGCACAACAAGCAATTCAGCCGTTCATAATTAACTAGCACATTTCAGTTTCCAGTTTAATTTTCAGTGGCGCATCTTTCTGATTCATACATTAAAACTGTGCTATTAAACCAAGCACTGAAGTTTTATTTATTTGTATTATTCCCCCTCCCCACTTTTAATGGACTGGCACACTTTTTAAAAACAATTTTTGCTTCTGCTACTTCTAAAACTAAGAAGAGGGTAACCATTGCTTTTTACAGCACTTTCATCCTAATGTGTTGAAATTGTACTTTTAGAGGCACAGATCATATGATATTTTATGATTCAATGTTATGAATCTACAATTTCAGATTCTCTTATAAGGCTGGTTCAGATAGTTGGTATATGTAACCTACAGTCATTAGACCAGTTGCTTTTGGCTCTCCCCAGCTGTCATCAACCATTCCATCAGGTTTCAGAGCAGGGCTGTTCCATTTCCTATGGCTGCCTTTGGCACTCTCAGTATTAGCAGCCGCCATTCCATCCAGCTACCTGCACTGTTTTTTTTCCAGCTGACAGTTATAACTACTTTTAGCTTTAGGAAGTGGTTTCTGAGCTTGCTTCCCGCCCCCTCCTCTCTCATGGCCTTTTTTCCTTATGTGTTGTGTCTCTTAAGTTGTAAGGCTGACTTATTACTGATTTTGGTAAGCTGCTCTGGAAGCCTTTTTGGCTAGAGATCAGGGTAAAAAACCCAAAAAAACCAAATCCCCACCCACTTCATGCCTTTGTTCCATTAGTATTCAGCCCACATTTTTATATGTGCCTTCTCAGAAACAAGCCCCACTTATTTCACTGGAATTGAATTCACTGGTACCAATTGAGGAGTCATTGGTGGTTGCCTATGGCTGAAACTATTCTGTAGTCCATAAATATAATCAGTGCTTTTTTTCCTGGGGGGACACAGTGGTATGCATACCCCTAAACATTTTGTGAATCTTTGCACTTTTGTCTATTTACTGTATTTATTTTCCCCGATTTGAACTATAAAATGGTGATTTTCTTGATTCAAAATAAGAGTACCCCTAAACATTTTTTAAAGAAATACATTTAGAGTTTTGCCACCAGGCCTCTTGCTCCAAGAAAACTAATGTGCGTTCAACAGTTGCACAAGGAGAAAAGCACAAAATGAAGCTTGTCCCATTACTAAAGCCATATGCATTCCATGGCTTGTCACTTTGACAGACAAGAGCTCTATCAGAAAAGAAATTTGCAAGATGGAAATTCACAGGCTGTTAACCCCTGTTTAAACTTCCTATTTCTATAGAATTAGCACATTTACAGATACAATCTCATACAAGTCCCTTTGTATTGTGTTATTTTATGCACTGTGACTTGCTGTTATTTTTATTGATTATAGTTTAGCAATTATTTATTGTAATTATTAATAGTAAATTTATCTTTAATTATTGCTTGCTGATATTTAATTTTATTGTGTACTATTATATTCTAATGGATTACAGAGTATTACTTGATTTGATATAAGTTGTTCATTTTAAAGTTACGTTTCTTCTATGACATTTCTGCATTGGATCAGACTGTTACAAGGTGTGCGATCTTTGTTGTTTCTTCAGCTTGCAAACCGCCTTGTGCAAAGTAATATGGAAAGGCAATACAATTTAAAAGTGAAATGAACTTCCGACTCTGAGCAGACGTGCATAGGATTGTGCTATGTGTACATACTTGTGCATGCTGAACTGTCTCTGTTCTGGGCAGCTGTTCTCCTATTGCACTTTGAGATGTAACAACAACAAAAAATTTTTTTAAAGGCATGGATTCTAGCGTGTTTGCTCACCGGAACATCTGTTTGAAGGGTCGGAGGAAGGTTAACCGCAGCTGCAAATATATACTTAATTACCTGGGAGTAAACCAACAAAGGTCCGTATAGTTAAAGCTATGGTTTTCCCAGTAGGGATGTATGGAAGTGAGAGCTGGACCATAAAGAAGGCTGATCGCTGAACAATTGATGCTTTTGAATTCTGGTGCTGGAGGAGACTCTTGAGAGTCCCATGGACTGCAAGAAGATCAAAACCTATCCATTCTTAAGGAAATCAGCCCTGAGTGCTCACTGGAAGGACAGATCCTGAAGCTGAGGGTCCAATACTTTGGCCACCTCATGAGAAGAGACGACTCCCTGGAAAAGACCCTGATGTTGGGAAAGATTGACGGCACAAAGGAGAAAGGGGACGACAGAAGACGAGATGGCTGGACAGTGTTTTCGAAGCTACCAGCATGAGTTTTACCAAACTGCAGGAGGCAGTGGAAGACAGGAGTGCCTGGCGTGCTCTGGTCCATGGGGTCACGAAGAGTTGGACACGACTAAACAACAACAAACCTCTCTGAACCCAATGGAGCTTGCTTCGGATTAAACACATAGAAATGAGCTGTGCAGCGCCACGAAGTAAAAACGTGTGTGTGTGGAGAGAGAGAGAGAGAGAGAGAGAGAGAGAGAGAGAGATCAGCGTTAGCATTTATTGTCTTTGGAAAAGAGTGGGCAGGACTGGCAACTCTTTCTCTGCCTTACTTTGCTGTGCGAACAAGGATCGAATTGCTAAGAGAAAAGAGGAGGAAGAAGGTTATTTTCCTCGCCTCCCAGAGAGAGAGATTACAGCCCAATCCTCTGCAGGTTTACTCAAAAGTAACCCCTACGGAGATCTACGTGGGGCTTACTCTCCCCACTAAGCATCCCCAGAGTCACGCCTCTTTCACACTGTCTAAATTCCCTCTGGCTCCCGCTACTAGCATTCCAACAAGGCACTCCTACTTTCCCCCCACTGTCGAAAGGCGGGATGCAACGCCGCTTTGCGCCCACACATAATCATGGCCAAATGAAGAGCGGCTCTGGAGGGTAAACGGAAGTTCTCTGCGCGCGTTACTCTACATTTCTATCTCTGTGGTATTGTTTGTCGTTGACGCAGCAGCAAATGCCTACTCGCCATTCTTATTAACTACAATTCCCAGAATGCTCCCCCCTTTTGGTAAAGCGCACGCCCCGCCCACGCCCCCCACACCGGGAGAGTGCGAGGCTCAAGAGACTCGGTGCAATTGCCAAAATACTCAGGTTGCGAACTGAACGTACTGGGAAGTCGATATAAATAAACAGAAGATGCGCGGAGCGGAGGCGAGGTGTTTAGAGCGGCTGCTCTTTGTTCTTGCCTCGCCGATGGCAGAGCTGAAATGGAAGGGCCATTTGGGGGGGGGCTGCGCGCAAATGTCAGCTTACTATCGCGATTGGGGCGTTGCTCCGCTCTGCGCCCGAGAATTAAGAACAACTAGCCACTCACTAATGGGACTCAACTGAATGTAGCCATCAGTGCTGGCCCGTCCTTGGAGACAAGCCATGGTGAGGCAACCGCCTCGGACAGCAGATTTGGCTTCCAAGGAATGCACTGCCTGTTGCAGCGATTTATTTCAATGGGAGAAACAGTAGGAGCCTGTTCACTCAGCGTTCAGAAATCGTTCGGACTTGAAGTTCGAATCCACTTGTTTCAAACCTTCGGGACACGGCCCGAGTTACCCGGCCACCCAGTTTTAAATCAAGTTGGGTTTCTTTTGTGCGCTCCTGCCCCGCACATGGCGGTTCCGGAAGTGTGGAGGCAAGAGTTTCTCGTACCCCTTTGGGCAAAAAGCGCTTTCCGACGCTTCTGGGGGAGAGGCGCATGCCGGGAAAAAGTCGCGGAGGTGGCCTTGGCGCGGGGCACGCCGGGAGTATCACGGAAGGGAGTTTCGCGGCGGCGGCGCCGACGGAGGAAGCGGGAAGCGGCCGTCTGTCGCTACCTCAGCGGCGCTTAGTCGGGCGCCTGGCCTCACTCGGGTGCGGTGTCCTTGCCGCGGCCATGTACCACAGCAGCACGCAGCGGCGGCGCTGGACCTTCCGCAGCGAAGAGGAGCTGGTCCGGCGCCGGGCCGACGCCAACCGCAAGTTCCGGTGCAAAGCTGTAGCCAATAGGAAGGTAGGGCGCGGGCTGCCCAAACGCCGAGTCCTCCTGCGTGTGATTTGTATTTGTTATTTTGTTGTTGTTGTTTAGTCATGTCCAACTCTTCGTGACCCCATGCTTTGTGACCCTGCTTTTAAAGATGCTTTTGTCATTGCTTTTCTCCCAAGGAGCAGGCGTCTTTTAATTTCGTGGCTGCTGTCACCATCTGCAGCGATCATGGAGCCCAAGAAAGTAAAATTTCTCACTGCCTCCATTTCTTCCCCTTCTATTTGCCAGGAGGTGATGGGCCCAGTGGCCATGATCTCCGTTTTTTTGATGTTGAGCTTCAGACCATATTTTGCGCTCTTCTCTTTCACCCTCATTAAAAGGTTCTTTAATTCTGACTACAACTTGTAACCTTTGTATGTTGGTGGCGGTGGCTCTGATTAGAGCCGTGGTTTCCAACGTGGGGCACACGACCCATGGGGGGCAATTTGATTTTTATGGGGGCAATCAAGAATGAGGTATTAACAGTTAATGGCCTTTTAGCCTTCCTCCCCTGAATAGGAGTTCACTTTTTGAATAATAAGAATTATATGTCACGGGGGCGGGGTGGCAATCAGGATTTGAGAGATGCTTAGGTGGGGCATGGCCCAAAAAAGGTTGGGAACCACTGGATTAGAGTTAAGATAATTTTTGTTCTCCCACAAGGTTCAACAGACTGACCCGTTTCTTCTTGAGCCGCATGAAGAGTTGACCATTTGTAAATACTATGAAAAAAGGCTATTGGATTTCTGCTCTGTTTTCAAGCCAGCGATGCCTAGATCTGTGGTGGTGAGTTTCTAACATTCTCTTTGAGAAAGCAGTATTTGTTTTGGTTTTTAAGCTCTATTTTTGTAAAAATATTTATGATTAACGACACTTTTTAACCAGGCCTTTGGTTGATTTGATTGACATCCTATGCCCTTTTAAAATGTGGTTCTTTTGGGGGGGTATTGGGTTTTTAAAAATCATTATTATATATATAGTGGTTTTATATTTTAATTTTGTTCTGTAAACCACCGAGACCTCCGGGTATAGGGCGGTATATAAATTATTTACACACACACACACACACACATACACACACACTTCATTCTTCTCAACCCACTCCCCATTTCCCCCCTAAACTTTCCCCACCTACTTTGGGGCCATTCCTCCTGCATCTAAAGTCCCTGAACTGTTATTTGTCACCAAGTAATGTTTAACATTGTTTATTCACACTAGACACAGGGAAACACTCCCTCCAGATATTCTTGTATTGTAGTTCCCATCAGCCCCAGTCAGCCTTGTCGCTGGTCATGTATGATTGGAATTCTAGTCCAGTAACATCTGGAGGGCTGCATATTTCCCACCATTTATAATGCCCACGATGCCCATGCCTTCATAACTGAGCAATGCCTGTCTGCCTCTAGACACACATATTAAGGAGCAAATATGAGCATTGTAAGGAATTTTTTCACCTGGATCGCCACTGAGATGGTGCGAACAAGGAAAAACTTCCCTCGAGATTTCAGTCATGTTACTGGGGTTGCCATATATACTTGCTATTCCTGGCCAGACTTTTGTTAGATAGAATGCCTACAAGGGAGGCATTTAAAAAAAACATGAGGTAGTGGGACCCAGCCTGCATGGGGACAATGACACCTCCCTTGGAGTCTTGTTCTTGGATTCCTAAGAGTAGGAGAAGCAAAAGCCAGAACTGATAAGAGCCGGTTGGATTAGCCCTTCCACTGCTGATAGCTGCTCAAACACCCAACATTTCTGTAATAATTTTCAGAGTATTATTGCAAATAGCTGGGAGAATAATGTAGCAACTGTGCTTGCCACAGCAATAATTCAACTTTCCATTCCAACTTTGTTCCCATTGCAACAAAGGGAAATGCTACTATGCTTCTTGCAGCAAAAGCCCAGGGAGGTAGCATTGGAGAGGGGCATAGGGATCAGAAAAGCTGTCTTGTCATCCACTTGATCTCCACCGAAGGCCATGTTTCATTGCAGCCAGGATCCAGTGATGTGCACAAGCCAACAAAGTACCAACCCTGAATATTTGAAGAATGTAGCACATGTGAGGGCACTATAAAAGTTGTGGGCGTTATGACACTTGTGGAGACTTTCTCAGGAGTACTCTTCTTTTGAGTCAAAGAGGGGCAGGAACACTAATGCAAACGAGCTTTTTAGAAGGGAATTCTAGTGACTCTGTTCAAACTGCTCATCTTGAGTTTTTATAGACATGAGGTAGATTAGTCAGCACACCAATTGGAACTGGCAGTGGCCTTTGTCTTCTGCTTATCCCCTGCTTCTGGCTCTTCTAAACTTGAATTTTCTGCTGCATAAATACACATTGGGTCAACCTGTGCACTACTTTGTTTTTCAGTTGACTTGCCCAGCATATCTTGTATTTATTTGATCATGATGTGTTCTATGTGGCAGCACAGAACAACAGCCATGCTATTTGCGTGAATGAACTTTCTGATTATAGTTTCCTTTTAGGGCTCAGCTTGCATGTACTTCAAGCGTTTTTACCTCAATAACTCAGTGATGGAGTATCATCCTCGGATTATTATGTAAGTAATGGATACCCTTGTGGTTTAATTATTTTCCCCAAACAGAAATTCTATTATGTTGTCTAAGGATATTGTTGCCTGAACTGTTGTAAACTATGTCTCAACATTTCAACCACTTAACATTTACAGTTGTCTTGTACAGAAAATGTCATAGACAGAAAAAATCCTATGAAAACAAACTGAATCCTAAAAATGGAGTATTTTTCAATCCCAAAAAAATTAGTTACCGCATCACATGAAAAAGCAGGGCTGAAATCCACTCTGGGGTGCACTTGCAGAATTTACACAGAAGTAGAACAGCAATAGGGGACGCGGGTGGCGCTGTGGGTAAAAGCCTCAGCGCCTAGGGCTTGCCGATCGAAAGGTCGGCAGTTCAAATCCCCGCGGCAGGGTGCGCTCCCGTTGTTCGGTCCCAGCACATGCCAACCTAGCAGTTCGAAAGCACTCCCGGGTGCAAGTAGATAAATAGGGACCGCTTACTAGCGGGAAGGTAAACGGTGTTTCTGTGGCTCGCCAGAGCAGCGATGTCACGCTGGCCATGTGACCCGGAAGTGTCTGGACAGCGCTGGCCCCCAGCCTATAGAGTGAGATGGGCGCACAACCCTAGAGTCTGTCAAGACTGGCCCGTACGGGCAGGGGTACCTTTACCTTTACCTTAGAACAGCAATGTTTTTCTCCTAGTTTATTATCATCTAAATGATAGTAAACAATGTCCCCAAACAGAATTTATCAAATAGTTTTAGTTTAGTTTAGGTAAATGAATCAGGGCAAAAACAGTCTCACTTTTTTTCATGCTAAAATTTGCACTGAGAAGCAGTTAAATGCCTTTCTTCTGACACATCACACATAGCTTTATTTTGGGACATTTGACCACACGTTTTCCCCAAAGCTTTCTATGCCAGATTCTTTTTTTTAAAAAAAATTAATGTATTGGGTTAGGATAAAAACCACAGGCTTTTCCAGCAATAAGTAACACGGGGAAGCAGACAAAAGTTATCTTCTGACAGAACCCACATGGTTTTGTTTGAGACATTCTATTACCCCAGTATACAATGCAGGTCAGCTCGAGGTAAAACAACTGCCCCATAAAACTGTCTCTGTCCACTTTTTTTCTTTGGATGTTTGCTGATAGTTTGCAAGTTCTAAAAGTTTTCTAAGTTTTTGGGGCTGGATTTTATATTAGAGGGAGCTTTCTCTTGTGTCCTAGTATTTAGGCTAGGCTGTTCAAAATACTTCCTGACTTCATATATAATGGTCTTCCTTAGAACCAAATGTGTTTGCTGTTTATTTTTAAGGTTAACATGTGCATTCTTGGCATGTAAAGTAGACGAATTTAACGTGTCCAGTACACAGTTCGTGGGCAACCTTCGCGAAAGTGCAGTAGGACAGGAAAAGGCCCTGGAACAGATCTTGGAATATGAACTGCTACTTATACAGCAACTGAACTTCCATCTCATAGTGCACAACCCTTACAGACCATTTGAAGGCTTCTTGATCGATCTAAAGGTAATCATTTTTGTTGCTTAACAAATGTACCTTAGATGGTACATTTAGATGGTAACTATTGTAAAATGTTGAAGCATTAATAGTACCAAGCACTGTACTAGAGCAGATTAGTTCTTAAGTATCCCAGCATGCCTGTTTGACGCTAAAATACTTGAGCTAGAAAAATGAACTCTGCAATTCTGCATATTTTTCTAGACTCGTTACCCGTTGCTTGAGAATCCTGAGACACTGAGGAAGACTGCTGATGACTTTCTCAATCGGGTTGCTTTAACAGATGCCTGCCTTCTTTATACACCGTCTCAGATTGCTCTCACTGCCATCTTGTCCAGCGCATCAAGAGCAGGAATTAATATGGAAAGGTAGATAATATTCCAAGCATTGGACTTACAGATTAAGTTAGTAGGTTTTTGTGCTAACGCTGTACATCCTTCCAAAGCTCTATCTGTGGTGTTGTTAAGACTTTGCGTCAACGTGGATTAAGAGTTTATTGTTCAAGAATCGTCCACACAGATTCAAACACTGGTGGTCAACCTGATCAGCTGCTTAACCTGTAAATGTGTGGCGGAGGGAAGAAAAATAGCTTACTGAATCCTACCATTTCTCTATTTAAATTACTATGTTGGGTCCCCCCGCCAAGCAATAAAGGCTGTATCAACTAAATGACTCTGTGGAATGATGCATTGCAGGGGTTTGGACTAGATGGTCCTTGGGGTCCCTTCCAACTCTATGATTCTATGTATGTGAGTATAGTGAAACGTCTCTTGTCTCTCCCCGCCCCCGGTGCTCCACAAACCTGCTCTGGGGGTTCCCCCAACTCTCTCGCACAGAGAGGGTGGGGGTAGAGGGGAAACTTCCCTGTCAATTGTGGAAATCTATTATCTGCACACGATGATTTAGTTGCATACAACCCTAAATCTTTTGTTCCTTCAACTTGTCATATGTCAGCTGCCTGTAAAATACTTTTACAACTTTTTAAAACATCTACCTTACACTATCAAAAGAAGCTCATGTTTCCAGACTACTACTTCATGTTAGAATACCATTGTTTTGCTTTCGGAAGGTTATCTTTGATTCCTGGAGGGGTGTGGGGTTTTTTGAGAATGAAAGAAATTGCTGTAGAGTATTCTAATCATCATTAATTTAACTTTTAGCATTTTTGACATTGGCTTTGTATTGTTACTCTTTATAATGCGTGCTAAGTTTTTGTTTTTTTTAATTTATTTTGAAAAATTCCTTCCCATCACCTAACATTTAGCTAAATGTCATTCTCTTTATGGGGTGTATGTTAATGTAAGTGTTCTTCATAGCTGTTCACTTTTCTCTGCATCCAAACAGTGGTACTGAGATCTAATTTTCACAATCTTTTGACAGTTACTTGTCAGAATGCTTAATGCTGAAAGAGAACAAAGCTTCCCTCTCCCAGTTACTGGATGGGATGAAATGTAAGTAAAGATGCTGAGAATGAGGTACCATAAACATATTTATTTTAAATTATGCTTTAAAAGAAGGGAAGAGGCTTGCAAAAGCCTTTATCCATTTGAAAGTTTTGTGTTTTTTTTACTTTTCTGAATAATTGGGACACATATTTAAACTTGTATCCAACTGTTAATAAAAAGGAATTTAAGTGGGCATTTTTGTCCCTTCTGCTCCCCCAGAAATGGTATAAAGTGACAGGAGAAAAGAAATATGGCTTAGTTCAGGGATGTGAACTAGTGACCCTCCATGTTGCTGGAATATGAGACTCATTATCCCTGAACAGTGACCATGTTGGTTGGGGCTAAATGTGAGTTGGAGTCCAAAAAAACACGGAGAGCCATTGCCTATTCTTTTCTTAGCACAATTGTATCCCCACTGCTTGTAAAACAGACTCTTAACTTCAAAGGAGGTTGCTGTAACCACCAATCAGCTAACTGTTGGGTTACAGCAACATCCTTTGAAGACTCATTCCCGTTGCCAATCAGCAATCTTCACTGTTTCATCCTTCTCCCTTGAGCCTCTAAAATCTGCTCTAGGGGGTTTGGGGATTCTCTGGAACAACTTGAGTGCTGGCGCAGGAATGGGAAAATATGCAAAAATTGTCTCCATCCACATTCCATTTATGGAAGCCCCTCTGGATCAAAGATAGTGAATGGAGATAGTGATGGATGCAATACAATGTCTTCTAGGTCAAATGAGACCAGAATTTTCAGCAAAGCAAGGGGAATGTTTCAAATGAAGAACAAAACTTGGTAGCTGTCTTTAGCATAAGCAAGTAAAAGGGGATATTTGATAACTTCTTCTGCCTTTGACGGTGTTCATAGCCTCTAACCTGTAGTCCAGGGCACATAAAAATGTGTATTCAGTCTTTCAGGTGACTGGTGCTTGCAAGACTGTCCTTGATACTGCTTTTATGCTTTCATCAAACACAACACAGCCTTCAGTTGATCTGTATTTTGAAGACTTGAATGCAAAATGTGCCTGCGTCTGAAGGTTTCCCTGGGACAGTAGTGCTAACACTGCATTATCCATTAGCCTCCAGGAAATAAAAAAAAACCCATAATGTGAACAACTAGTTTAGTAGAGTTCTTTACTTCACACTTTTGCTGTGTCTTGACATTCCTTAGCATAAATCCTCTGATATAAGATGACAGCTAAGAGTCTTACAAATGTAATCTGAGCTTCTGTAAAGGGGGAAATAGTGTTATGTGGCAAATTTAAGCTAAGACTTTGTTTGTGGAACTTATTTCAAAGAAATCTGGAGCACATCTCAATTGTCTTTAACACTTGTTCTACAAGAGGACTTGCTTTTCATAGAAAATCTGCAAAGTATTTTACACTGTAGTCTGGCTTTTTGAGAGCTGGGTGTACTTTTTGTTAGAATGCCCCCTCCCTCCCCCCCCACCTTTGCACAATTAATCCTGTGTGTTCATGGCTACAACTGGTCAAAATATACTATAGCTTGGCTATAGTGTTCCTCAGCTTCATGTACAACTCACAGCAATTAGATCATACTTAAACATTCCCTGTTGTGCTGTAACCTTACATACACACACAAAGCTTTATAGCCAGGTCTGTAGAATCAAAACTAGTTGGAATGTGCCATATCTAATCAGTTGGGTTTGAGTGTGAAGATGAGAGTGTGATTAGGCTACCTATATCACTAGAATTCATTTGGATCTACTTTTGATAATGTACATATCTTATTGGGGTTCAGATTAATTGGTATATAGTACACTTAATTAAAGCGTTTTGAAAGTGTTTTATTGCTCCTTTGTAGGCATGAAAAATCTGGTAAAGAAATATGAGCTACCGCATCCAGAAGGAGTTGCTCTTCTGAAACAGAAGTTAGAGAAATGCCACAGCCCAGAACTTGCTCTTAATACAAATGTGTAAGTAACAATTTAAAGCTACATCGTACCTCAGTGCTAGCTTTGATTGTGTCAGAAGAAAGGCATTAACTGCTTCTCAGTGCAATTTTTAGCATGAAAAAAGTGAGACTGTTTTTGGCCTGATTCATTTACCTAAACTAAACTAAACTATTTGATAAATTCTGTTTGGGGACATTGTTTACTATCATTTAGATGATAAATACTAGGAGAAACACATTGCTGTTCTACTTCTGTGTAAATTCTGCAAGTGCACCCAGAGTGGATTTCAGCCCTGCTTTTTATGTGATGCAGTAGCTAATATTTGGGATTGAAAAATACTCCATTTTTAGGATTCAGTTTGTTTTCATAGGATTTCTGTCTATGACATATATCTTGTACATGACAACTGTAATGTTAAGTGGTTGAAATGTTGAGACATAGTTTACAACAGTTCAGGCAACAATATCCGTC